TTGCACTAGGAGAAATAATCAACCCAGCAACACCAGACAACCATTACCCTACACTAACGTTAGCTTTTCTACAACTTATTGGCTGTGTACTGGACCTTCTGAGTAGCTGATTACATTGATGAAGAAGTCCGCATGCAGACGATCCACGATAGCCTCGAAGACCCTCCTGGGAAAGAAACCTCGCCGCCGGAGAAATCATAAATGAGACAGTACGCCTATGCATAGAAACAACGTTCAGTAATAAATATTGCTACATTGACTGCTGAAGTTTAATTTGGGCGTAATGAAGTATACGCAACTTAGCAAATCGCATAAATAATAATCGTAAAACCCAAGAGGCGGTTCATCATTAAAAGATAAGGATTTGCTAGCTTGGCCACTCTCTTTGCAAAATTTAGAAATATGCATAAGACACTCCAGAAGATGTTCCCAATTTGATAAGTGCCCGTCAAATTGTTCGTCATCGAAACTTCTAAACTTGTCAATATTAATAGTGTTCTCCGAACCTCATCTGAAATTAAGTTCACATCACTTAATTGGGATTTTTAAGATATCGTAAATAGAAACTCTATTTACAAATGAATTATTTGCATGGACTTATATTAACAATGTTTCAACAAATCTTTTCGTCGTGGCCGTTCGAATATCACGATTCATGTCTCCTGACTCGGTTATTTTTATCGTCATCGATACTAAGTTTCATTGCAACCTTTTTGTATTAATCCCTATCTAATCTATTGCCCTACCAAATGTCCTGCGAATCATTATTAAGATTTTCGTCAATCGTCAGCTATATTGGCAGATAAAGCGTCGAAGATTCCTGTTTGGTTTTTACATTTTAAGAATTTTGTTTCCTAGAAACTCGGATTGGTTTCCTGAAGATTCATTTCAGTAAGTGTGCGATCTTCCTAACAATATATAGTACACGTATAATATACTTATAACATACATATTTTTTATCTTGGATAATTCGGTTTCACTAGAAGACGGGTAATAGGATGCAATCATAATTTTTAATGCATCGTATCCTTGCTAAGAATGTATACATATATATTTATATATATCAAACGTTTATAAACGTTTTCCTTTATCCATTGCAAGCCTTTTAAATAACAAGTAAGAACATTATACGCGAGCAACGCTGACTAATCAATGCTTTACACTACTGCCCCCATGCAGAGCTGCATATAGTTTCTTGATAAAACAGGAAAACTTGCATCCTGTTTCATGCAAGAGCATATTTTTCATCGGAGTCCTTATATAGGATAAATCTCAAAACGTAGGCCAACTTGGTTCAAATTAACCACATTTACAATAGAAGGCCTTATATGAGGAGTGGCCGCAAAAATTCATTTTCAAAAGGTGAACCGGGAAACTATGCACCAAAAGTATGTAGACAGTTTGGCAGACAGAGAAACTTAAATCCATTCAGAGAATGATTCCAAATCGATCGGTATGATCAAAAGCGGACCTATTTATCTAATTTATCCTTTGCCGTAAGCCATGTAGGATATAATTAAATGGAATGTTATGAATGTTTTCTTTGCTTTTTTTTTTTTTTTTGCTATTAAGTAAGCAGCACTCTGTATAAGTAATTACCTTCATCGTGATGGCCGCAACGCTTTTGACATCAGTCTCGTCCATAAGTGTCATTAGCTGTATCTTGTTTATAGTGTTCATTTATCTCTTGACATAATGAATGTTTACACACGTAAATATCTGACATAATTAGATTACTAAGCGTTCGAATGCTTTTAAGTGTGTGCTTGTGTTCAATCTATTTTAATAAATTATAGCAATTTTTCATATTAATACAATTTAAGATATAAAAAAATTACTTAAATATTATTTATAAAAAAAGTGGAAAACATCTTAGTGAACTTCAGGACTTTTCTTGTATTCGACCATATTTGACTTGAAATTAACTTTTTGATCGTTGAGTTCATGTAAGTAAGTAATCGGTGCTTTGTGAGCATTTAAGATGAATTTCACTTCCCATTTTGTGAATAACCGGCTCAAGTGTCTGAAGCATGTCCGTAGTTGAATTCCTAGTTCGCTGATGTATTGTCACTATCTAATATCCGCTGAATTGATTGTAGAGGCTATTAAAAGACCAAAGCCACACGTTTTTCGTCTGCTTTGCCTAATCTGAATATGAAATAAGAGATTTACGGTTATTAGGTTTCCAAATGAAGAAACATATTTATTGTGTGAACAAAATGTTCTATGCTGCGCTTTGCGAGATCATACACGAACTCACTCCTTTCAAGCGAAGAAGTGTCATTATTGCTGTCCCCTATTTAAGCCTTGTATATTATATGTGTTTAGATGCATACTTTTAGCATTTACATTCAAAATGCCAAACTATTCTGTACTACGCGATATTAAATGATATACGAACTCTGTGCTCTTAACGTCTTTCAAGCTAATAGGTGTCATCATTGCAGCCTCCTACTAAAGCCTTATATGTATATTGCATACGCTTAGAGCCTCCAATTATATATTATACACGTTTACATACAAACTACCTAAGTGTACGATGCTGCCGTTTGCTACGTCATATATAAACTCTTTGTTCCTATCTCCTTTCAAGCTAAGAAGTGTCATCATTGCAGCCTTCTACTAATGCCTTATACGTCATATACATTTAGATCCAAAACGTTGTTTGCTGTGCTTTCCTAGATCATATACGAACTCTTTGCTCCTGTCTCCTTTCAAGCTAATAACTTTCATCATTGCAAGTTACTATTAAAGCCTTGTATATTTTACAAATTTACATTCAAAATGCCAAAATATTTCGATGCCAAAAATATTTTAAAATCTTATCGTTATGATCTCGATCTCCTACTATTTAATGGCAATAATTTCTTGAATGCTTGCATTAAAATTTTTGCTAAAAATTGCCAAGTAATGCATTTTATTAATACGAATGCCATTCGTGTAGCCATTCATTAATCTTGATATTGTCATCCCCAGATGATGTTGTCGATGACACTGATAGATGCAGTAAATGGCTAAAAATAAACCAATTTTTGCATCATTTAATGTGCCGCAAATTTCGTTCTAAAAATATGGCATATACGAGAAAATTATTTAAAAAAAGAACAACGCAAATAGAGAACGATATTAGCCTTTGCGGCTTTTGTAAATCGTGGCAAATTATCATTTATTTGCCCATAAGCGTAAGAAATGTAATCACATATGAGGGTTTTATCAATGATAGCCGTACAAGTTACTCGTGTTTTCAAGAAAGAAGACTATGCTAAGAAGAAGAATAGCCTGAGAATAGGCAGAAAAGGGGACGAAGACATACATGGATATGGCTACATTGGCTCAGAATTTTACATTGAACTACAATCGCTATTGCAGACCTAAATCCGCATGTTACAAAACTTAGAATCATTATATTTGGGCAGGGTCGTTGAATATCCTCAAACGGTTCGCTCAATATAATTCTTCCTTTATTTTTCAAATACCAAAAATTTATTCTCGATTCCATCCAAAAGCTTAACTTTCAGGCGAACTTTTATATCGAGAATAGCCAAAGGCGTGAACTGACATGGTCCAAATTTCATTTGCTTGTCGAAAGTCTCATTTCTCTCTCTTTCTCTCTTTCTCTCTGTCTCTCTCTCTCTTCTCTCTTTCTGCCATGTAAAGGCTTACGTTTTTTTGACAACTTTTATGTGGAATAGGATTTGGCCTACTTGGATCAAATTTGGTACAGTTATTTGTATGCTTCTCATTGGTACTAGAGATTGGTTTTCATTATAAATATGTGATTATACAACAAATATATTTTGAAAAATCGTGATATGGAAAAAAATTATATTATACTCGCTGAGTAATAGTGTTTTGACATGCTAAACCAGTGTACATAGTTTGGTTCGGCTGGGCCGATTTTTTGAACCCCTCTCGTATAGTCTAACCTACGCAAACTGAATCTTCATATCGCAAAAAGATATAATTTAAAATACATTCTATTAGATCCAAAAAATAGGCCGAGATGGTTCAAATTTGGTACAATTGATTATTTCATTTTCAGTTACTATTATGATATTAATTTTCATCATGAAGCATTGAAAATTATATTTTTTTGTCCCATGAACTTTAGTTTTCGTTATATAAGAGGGGTTTTAAAAATTTCCACAGCTGATCCAAAGTTTTCATACCAATTTAGAATGGCGAAATATTACTGTGTAGACACTTTTATTGAGAAATTTTGAAATTTGCAATTTTTTTCCATCCAATGAGTTTTCCGAATGGGGTGTTATATGGGGAGTGGTCGTAAAACGTCCTCGGATCAAAACATGCCATTGCACTAAATTTCATCAAAACATCTCAAAAATTACGACCAATAGCTTGAACACAGTTTCATATGGACAGACAATAGACGGACAGACGGACAGAGAGGCTTAGATCACTTCAGATTTTGAATCTGAATCGATCGGTATAATAAAAGGTTTGTCTGTCTTAGGCTCCGCTGCGTATTAACTACGTCCACACAAATTTAATATACGCTGTACAACAAGTGGTGTAGGGTGTAAGAAGAGTACCATTTAAGACGGCGGAATGCAATCAGGATGAATAGGGGTATTCAGCACCTAAAACTAATATTTATGTGACTAAGAAAAGCATAAAAAATGAAGAGACAATGAAAGGAATACATTTAGGTTGAATGCACACACACTGGGACAATGCCTTGCATTTAAGATGAGAGAATGTGTACAATTGGAATTTTTGAAAAGTTTATATACTCGAGACTTCCGCCATGCATTATGTTTCGTGGAAAGCCACTATAACACGGAGTGTATGGAGCTAAACGAAGTCAACCTAAAATTTTACAATAATTATGACAATAAACATCTTAGAGGGAGAGTGCGATAGCTTTGAATTTTCATTTAAGATCAAAAAAAGAAAATAAAAAATATTTTTTGATTTTAAACTAATTTATTTAATTATTTATTTATTTATTTTTTTTATTATTATTATCTCTTTTAAAGCATTTAAGCTGCATCATCATGACGCTGCACAACAATAGATGCGAGCTTTATGGCTGAAGTATTAACTTTTAAATACCTTTTTGATATGCTTTTAAATTGAAAAACAAGGAAGATAGAAGCAGCCTTTAAAGCCGATTGCACTTCCTATCAACATACATAAATAATAATAAGAAGGTGCGACTTTTTTCCATCACTACGTATAATAATTATTTAGTTTACTGTTTGTTTACTATTTAGAAAAAAAAAATTTTTTTTTTCTTTATTTTTATATAATTTATAAAAAATTAATGTTTCTTTATTTTTTAATCTCGCTTGTTTTTCAAGTTTACTTTTAGCTTAACATAGAAATTACAGTAAAAGCACTGAACAAAATCATAAGTTTTTAGGAAAACATGACTCTAGATGCACGATCGTATGTAACCGCTGCAGCGACAGCAACAGCGAAAAGATGTTTTCTAACGATGGCAGGTAAGAGATGACTCTTCCCAATATTTTTACATACTTATATATATATATATATATATATTTATTTATTATCGATTAGGGTAATTACTCTTCTTATCTGATACTCTGCTATCTGGCACTAATAGAGCCAACTTTCACAAAACATTACAACGAAGACCCTACCAAAGAAAATTGTTCCCCAATTTCACTGTGGTTCCTTGTACAAATACGAAATGTCAAATGTCAAAAAATTATATGATGAGCGGGGTTTTGGAAGGATTAGAAATTCTTCTAAGAAAGCTGGTATTAGTCCACGATGTAGATATGACGGGTTTTTAATTAGCTACTTACAGTTTCCCTGCATTGAATTTTTAACCCCATTATTTGTCGTTAGACGACGTGGAACGAAAACAGGAGTCACTTGGACTTCTTAGGGGGATAGCTGCAGTTTCATTCATTAGGTAAATTAGGATAAAATACTAAAGTCTATATATATATATGAGACTTGAGTTACTCGAGTAACGGTATTTTTATAAAATAAAGGGCATTAAATATTTGAACATGTTACACACACACATGAATAGACTTGGGGGCAGAAATTGACCCACCACACTAACAATGGAGGGAATATCATGCACATAGAATAAAAGAGATATGACGTGAAAACGCTCGAGTGCACTTCCAACTTATACTATGTAAACAGCTTGCTCACTGCTCCAACTGCTGTATGTACATGAAGAAATGTGCGTAAAAACAAAATGCCGTAAATCATTTCGACCTAAAATAGTAATATTCATTTCAGACTTTCGAAGACATTTGTCCGCTTTAAAAAAAAAAAGAAAGGAAATTACGTTCGGACTCCACTGAAAGTTTTATACCAATCACCTTAACTTATAGGAAAAACGCTCAAGGTGTTTTTTCTCCCATCACGCAATAATTTCATTATTGCTTTCTGTCAGCGTCATTAGAGCTGGCCGCGAAATCTGTTATAAGAAGTACAAAAATTTTACGCGGTCGTGACAGAATCGTCTATTACCACCATCATCGTTACCTTAAAAAATGCAAAAAAAGTAAAAGAGCTAAATTTTCATAGTCTATAATATGGATTGGAGGAATAAAAGTTATTCTCGCATAGGCTTGTGAGCGTATCCCTTGAAATGTTTACGTCATTTCATTTTCGATTACTGGTGAACATTTGTCCCAGACACTATACCGATGGGAAGACAAATAGAGAGACAGACGAACAGGCGGACATGTTTGGATGCATTCCACACTTGGAAATTGGAAAGGAAAGGGGTGGAACGTACTTCTGTGCAGCTTACTGGTACATGGTACTCTGGACGACCAATTCGGCCCATTCTCAGTACCAACCAGCGTGCACGAATTCCCAATGTTTTTGCCAAAATATGAAGTCGTTAGCTTCATTTTTGCGACCGGGAGAATGTTTTCAACGGCCATTACACAGGCGGACCGACGGACATGCTTAACTCGATTTAGAATTTGATGCTGATCAAGAGCATATATACTTTGTTGGGTCTCTGATGTTTCCTTGTAGGCGTTGCAAAGGTTTTGATAATATGACCATATTCCTCATCCTTCGGTAGTGGGTATAATTTACGTAACATGTCGTATTGACTGACAAGAATATCGTAAGTTGCGTAATAGGCCGAAGTATGTAATGAGAAAGGAAAAGAATCAAGCGTATATTAATTTCTTCCGAAATTCTAATTCTTAGCAAATGTGGCACATACTATGTAACAAAGGTATACTGGGAGGTAGTAGTGGTAACCCTAGCGCGGTAGCTATAAGCTCTATTAATCAATAAAAGTCCGCCGATTTACCTCCATTTTCCAATAATTTTAGAGATAGCGATTTCTTTCTCATTCCAGAAGTTGGATAAAAACATTGTCCGAAAAGAAACAACTGCCTCGGTTGGGTGTGACGGAGTATCTATCAGACTTGTTAATTTGACCTTGCCTTACCTATCTAACTTTATAGGTTATAAACTTCCCAAGGAGTGAAAAATAGCTTGAATAAAATCCACTCCTAAATGGGGCTCGTCTTTTGCTCATAACAACCTTCAATTCATTAACGTCCTACCCTGCGTCTTCAAAGTTACGAAGCTTATCGCGAAGGCACAACTTATTCATTCTTGAACAACACTAATGCCAAGCACATGGACATGGCAACCCGAAACTTCTAATTTCCGTCATGGCGTCCATAAGGGTTTGTAAGGTCTGTATTCTCGTCGCTTTGTATCTGACAATAGCATTTGATACAGTCCCATAGACTTGGCTCACAAACACTCAGCAAACCAATTGGATGATAAATTCAACTTTTCTCGAAGTGCTTGTAAGCTTATTGATCGTATATTTTGGGTCGTAAACAGTTCATTTCTGTGAATGACTCTTAGTCTTCCCTCACTGAGACTATGTCTCGTGTACAGTAAAGTTCCTTTTTCGTCATTGTCACTCTTTAATCTCTTCTTCAATGATCTTGGGGATTTGGTTGGTAACGTTTGCGTATGTCGAAGACTTCTTTCTGCTTTATAGCAATTCTTAACTCCTGGGTGATAGATAATATGCTTTACATTAACGCCAGTAAGACTAGAGCTTTATCCTTCAATGCTCCCCGTGCTGGGTCATTCAATAAAAATATAAAAATTTCAGAGTATTTAATAGATCTTGTAGATTCATTGTGAGGTCTTGGGGTAATCTTTGCTCGCAAACTCACATTTGGCTCCCACATTGAGACTATCTCTGCTAAAGTTTGTCGTACGCCTCCACCTCCGATTGTTCCTTAATTACGTTTAGAAGAAAATTGACTGAAGAAATTGATGATTACGGAGTTTATGGAACAAGAAGATTACATTTTCAGCCATCTGGTCGACTTGTATGTTCACTTAAGTTGTAATTTCTTTTTGCACATGATATCTATTTAGGTAACTAGGTAATAGGCCCATGACTTTGAATAAATGAGGAAGAAAACAGAAAGATACTCTCTACTATTGCGTGTGCATAACTCCTAAAAAAAATTAAGGCGCCATGTTAACATTTGTCAGAATGTTTAGCTAATAGAATAGTTACATTCTGTAGGTTTTCCGAATCTTGCCTCTGGTCGTGTGTTTACGAATTTTGCGGAATTACGAAGATGGACAGACAGACAAGCTTAAGCCCGTCAGAATTTTATACTGATCAAGAATATATATATATGCATATATATATTGCACATATATATATTACAAGTCTCCGAACATCATTCCTACCCGTTGCAAACACTTTGAAAAATTTTATGTGCGCCCAACCTTCGGTAATGGCTATAAGAAGAGTAGTGGACTGTAACGACTAACTATTACAGTCAGATGTACTCATTATTATTATTCACTAATTTTGTCACTTTATGCAAAACTTTGCTGAAATGTACTTAAACCACTTATTAACACGATGTAAAGATGGCTTGGTAGACACTCATGTGTCCGCCAATTTTTTGAAGGTTAGATAGATAAATTCAGGTCAAATATTGCAATTTTTGAATAAACTTTGATAAAGAAATTTCACAAAAAAAAAACTGACGACCAATTCACTGAAATTAGAATTCGACCAGAGACAGAGAGAGCTTTCTCTAAACAGAAACATAATAAATTTTTTCTTTTTTTAAGAAATTTAATTTTCTTAATCGACATACAAATGGTGGATGGTCTTCATGCAGGTTAACAAATTTTAATATGATTAATTAGCAAACAGATTTGCACCTCTTTTCCACTTTTTTTTTTGTACAATTTTTTGAAAAACAATCATGCAAACGACGCGTATAATGGATGGGCATTCCCTTCTATCTATATACGAATTGAAATCATTACATTTATGCATTTGTTATTTATCTTAATATTTTATTATAATTTCTCTTTTCGGTTTTCATCGAATGGAAAAAATTTTTTATTTTCTGATTTTAATTAAATCGGATTTTGATTGATTGCTGTTATCTTAAGTTATTTGCTATTTAGCAAAATTTTCCTATGCCGACAATTGTTTTCCATGTAAGTCTTTATAATACAATAATGAATAACGAACATGAAAAGTAGATATTGAGACTAATTTCTATACCCACCAGCGAGTTGTCTTGACCTAATCAACTTCTTGTTACTTCATTTACTATCAGCAGGTATCTAAGAATATATCTATGATCTTAATTAATACACACACACACACACACACAGACTAAAGCACTTTAACTAGGCATCCGTGAAAATATTTGTCTATCTAAAAGGATGAGAGCTGCCGCAAAATTCCGGAAATAAACAAAGCTCATATCACGAACCCAATTCTTAACATCATTTAGCTCGTACACACCGGGCAAGTTACTCTTGTTGAGACTAAGACTAATAAATTGATATAGAGTAGGATTTACTACGTATGTACAGTTATATCTGAGAGAGGACGCCACAAATTAATGGCGCAGAAAGTAAAGAAGCCGAAAGAAGAAGAAGAACAACACTCCGTATCGTGAAAAATGTTCAAAGTAAGTGATGCCTTGTCTTCCCCCTTTGTTTGAAAAACTCCGAAATAGGAGCAAAAGTAACTCGTTTTAGAGATTTGCAGTGATTTGTGTTTATGTGTGAGTGTGTGCTTCTACTTTTTAATAAAAATAAAGAAAAAAACAAGTGAAAAGATTATAGTCGCGCTAGGCCGTTACTTAAATACCCTACACCACACTGTCTAATTTTTATTATGGAAATCATACGTTATATCCTGTTCCCAACATGCAACATAATGTAGTACAAGCTTAATCCTTACATAAGGCAGGATCCAAAAATAGGCGTAGGTGGCCGAATTTTGTAAAGTTCACTTTTGCATAAAGTTACTGTTATGAGTTTGTTTTCATCACCACGTATTAAAATGTAGACTTTTCTCCTCTACGAAGCATCAGTTTTCGTAAACTTTCGTATTAGGGAACGATCCAAAAAATAAGCCAAGATGGTCCAAATTTGGTACAGTTAATTTTTTTACGCTAAATTACTCTTATGATATAATTTTAATCGTGATGAAGGGAAAATTATTCGTTTTTGTCGTATGAACTTCAGTTTTCGTTATATTAGAGGGGCTTCAAAAATTGTCCCACTCAGTCCAAAGTTTTCATACCAATTTAGAATGCCGAAATACTATTGAAAATCGCAATTTTTCTCCATATAATGAGATTTCAGAATAGGGCGTTACGTGAGAAGTGATCGAAAAAGTAGACCGATCGGAACCATTTTCAAGAGCGTTCGTCCTTGGGGCAAAACACGTCACTCTAGTAAATTTCATCAAAATATTTTAATAATTGCGACCTGTAACTTGAACACGTATTTACATGGACAGACATCAGACCGACAGACAGGCTTTGATCAATTCAGATAATGGTTCTGAATCGGTCGGCATAATAAAAGATGGGACTATAAGAAGCCCTTCTGCGTATTACATACGTCCGCACTAACTTAATATACGCTGCACTACAAGTTGTGTAGGAAATGCTACAAGTTGTTTTGCCCTCAGCACTTACTTTTCATATGCCTAAGTTATTGTTCAATAACTTTCTTTGTGCTGAGGTTTTCTCTTTGCTTTCCCAACCGAGTCATTTTATATTCTTCTTTCTGACAAGTAGATCCAAGCTGTAATTAATTAGTAAAACTTGATTTAGCAGAGTTACATATGTACAATTGGAGGGGGAAAATTTTGCTTCATGCAGAACAGGGTTGGGGCCGTGTACTATTATTATTATTATTATTCATTTAGCCAGAGAAGTAAATTCTAACACTAAAATCGTAAACCTCTAGCATCTAAGGCTATCGGCTGTATTGAGAACTCTACCGCACTTGAGATTTGACCTCACGACCGTTAAGGGGTTAATCGAGATCCTTTGCCTACTCGACTACTCAGACGGCTTCAGCGCCGTGTACTTGACATTTGACAAGAGAGGACATTTTAAATTGGAATTTACTTTCTAGTTCTCTCATTATAAGGAGAGTATATCTGGCACAAATACGGATCGAGACGGGCCGAATCGCAATATATCAAAGGCAGGCGTTTTTCATTCACTGAGTTGGTCGAGATAACCGTTGTGATCATACGTCGATTTCTTTGTGATTAGCACTAATCGAGGTAATAGGTTTCACTGAGCACAAGCCGAAAAATGCAAAATGTTTTGTTTCGATATTAGTGAACCATAAGAGTGAGTGGGAGTTTCACTCAACCCAAGTCGAAAACTTCAGAATGTTTTGTATCAATATTAGTGAGCCATAGGTTTCCCTGTTTTACATGCGTTAGATGGGATTGATTGCCTCACAATAAAGAAAGTCTATGATTTCTGAAAAGCTGGTGGGTATATAAAATTCGTGCTAAAACGAATAAAGCTTTTTCATTTTGTCTTTTTTGTTTATTTGTCTGTATTGAACTATTTTCATTTCTATACGTCCTTGTCATATTCTATGCATTAAAAGCTTTGTTGTTACTCTTTATTTTAACAGTATTCACTCGTAACGAATATGCGTCTAAAAGAATAATTTGTGACTTTTTTTTGTTTTTTTTTTTTGCTATTTCGTAGAAAACTATTTCTGTAAAAATTAGCAATAACTTATAATAATAATAATAATAATAATAATAATTAAAATTACATTTGAAATTGTCACAGTTCGGGTATATATTTCTATACAAAGTATCATTAAAACCTCAATATATATATAAAAGATTTCCAAACTATTGTCCTGTTTTTTTTTTTGTTAATTTTTTATTTATTTTTTTTATGTTTTTGTTTCCTTTGGGCTGACTATGTAAGAGTGTATCTTTTCCGTTTCTGTATTCTTTTTTCACTTCTCTTGCAGCCTTATTTGGAGTAATTTTGTTCGTGTCGATACCAAATGTCTCGGCTGAATGTCAAAGTATGAATCTTCTTAACCTAGTTTTCATTTAACCTATAACACTCAAGACACACACACACACACACACACACACACACACATAGACACACACACACACACACGACATTGTTCAAATTTTCATTATTTATTTTTGTAAAAAAAGAAAAAAAAGATCAATTTTTTTCCTTCCTTTAAAACTGATGTTCAAATTTTTCTTACCAAATCGATGTAAAATTTTTTGTTTATTTATTTTTTTTTTTTTTTTCAATTTCCTTTAAAATAAATTCTCTCAGTGTGTTTTTTACGTGTGATTATATGTTATTTACGTATTTTTTTTGTTTTTCTCAGTGCTGAACATGAACTTTTATTATTTGCATAATCACAAAGTCGCCTAAAAAAATCTTAGTTATTTTTGTCAGCGAATAAAAAACCAAAAAAAACCAAAAAAAGAAAATAATTAATTCAATCTCAAGCTGAACGTGAATTTTTTCTTAAATAAAAGAACAGGTTTTTCTAGAATATAATATATATATTCTATAAATAATTTACAATAGATTTTATTATTATTATATTATTTTTTACTCGCACTTGTACTTTAGCATTTTATCTAATAAATAACTTCTAGGCTTGCTAGACTAATAACTATTATCCTCCTTCATCAAATCATAATAAATTGATTGAGATTTTTCAAATAAATATATTGAGCCGAAACAAAGACGCGTAGGGAATTAGTTTTAAGCGTTCATTTTGAAGGCTCAATATGTTTAGAACTGAACAAATTCACCAAAAAAGAAAAAAAACCAAACAAGAAAACAATCATTTTATATACATAATTTTTCTTTTTTTTTAATAGTAACTTTTCTTTTTTTTAATAGTAACTACAGTAAATGTAGTCTAAAGTTCGTCATATTTAGATTTAGATCTGATCGTGTTTGATGGTTTGACTAAATCCCCGCCTTGACAAAGCAAGGCAGTATATATATGATTGTGTAAAAATCATAAAATTATACTTTTGCGAAATTTTACATTTTTATGTCAATAATAATACTATTTAACCATAAATCATTGTTCGGCTGCTTTGACTGACGGTCTTAAAAACTTGGCATAACAAATTATAAAGGTTTTTCGAATGTTCGTTAGACTCTCTCGTTCTTTCCATTCTGAAATGGAAATGTTTAAAGAAACAACAATGATCGCGTATATATATATATATATATATAAAGCTTAGCAAAAATCAATTCACAATTCTTCTAAGAGGCCCACAAAACTAGTAATTCAGAAATCCAAACAAAGCAAGTAAGAAAATTATAGTATCGCATACTCACAGCTATGCTTTTCGCATTCTACTCTCCAAGTTTTTTTATTCGATACCCTTGATAACAAGTGAGAAGGTTGTATTCGGCCGAAGCCGAATATCGTATACTCACCACTATGCTTTTCGCCTTCTACTCTCCAAGTTCTTTTATTTGATACCCATATCGCTGGTCTTATTAAGCAAAAATTAATTGCGATGTCTACCATATGTATTTTAGAGTTAACCCATTTTAGGTAGATAATATATCTTCATTTGAGGAATGTACAAAATAGTTTTAAGCATTCTGTCTTCTTTGCCTTATGATAATAAGTAAGCATAAAACCTCAAAAAAGTGAAAAACAGGAAAATTAAACCACTTGCAAATTTGAGTGGGCATGGCTCATTTTTTCCATTTTGGACAGATATGAAGACACACGGACACACAGACATACGCACAGGCACATGAACAGATATACATACACACGGACACACAGACGATCGGACATGGCTTAATCAATTCAGAATTTCACGCTGAACAAGAATGCATAGGGGAATTTGCAGGGTCTCTGAAGTTTCCTATTGGGTGTTACGCACATCGTGGAAAAAAACAAAATGAGTGGGTCTAAAATGTCTACTTAAATATTAGATAAAAATTCGGTTAGAAACCTGTTCTGAAATAAAAATGATTTTCATAAACTAATTGCATTGCTTCCAAGCGGAGTATATAAAAACAAATTTTCTTATTTCTCTTTCACTGCGTGAAGAAGTGCCTGGCGTGGATAACAAAATTTTCCGCTTCAATTTAAAAAAAACTCTTGTACTTAATGAATTTCGTCTGCTCTGTTATATAGAATAAGTTCTCTGTGAAGAGCTTCTTCAAGTCCGCGGTTTATTATTATTCTAAGACCAATAGGCTGCTGTTCCTTTTTAATGTGTATAGGCCCAAGTTTTCTGAACAAGTGATGAAAAAGTGGGCGTTAAATCGTGGAAGGTTAGCGTCAAGCTTAAAACAATTTTGTGACTTTAAGCAAAAGTTTTCGTGTAAGAGATTCTTTTATACTAACTTCTGTGTTGCAATTAAATTTTGAAATTTTTGTCTCCCGAGAATGTCTAAACTACTAAATGTCTAAAAACTGATTTCTGTTCATAGTGCTAAGCCCAACCAAGGCAAACCTAAAGTTTTCATTAAACTAGGACAAGTTTTCTCAGATTACATCATATCTATGTTATGGTTTATGAAAAATATTATATTCGAATGTGTCTTTGACACATATGCATATACATATACTTTTAGCGATAAGAGTGTTGAGTTAAGATTATAATCGTCCTTCTATAAGGATAATAACAAAAGACTAAATTCATCTGCTTGCGTACAAAAAAATATGGAATGGGATGCATATACATAGGAATCTTGACTTCAAGGTTGTCAATAAAAATATTCTGTTTTCTGAAGCAGAAATTATGTTCTAAAGACATTTTCCAAGCTCTCAGTCGGCTAATTAAAAGGGAATAATTAAGTTAAACACGAGTAACGAAAATTGTTATCCATACATGCATTATCGTTACATACAAGGTTAAATGAAATTACTTAGAATATCGTAAAACAAAATCAAAGGTAATTACATTATTATTAAAGTCATGCTTTCTGGAGAACCAAACCGTTGAAAAAATAATTGCTTATAAAATAAAATAATGTAAAAAATGGGCAATGACTGAAAAGGATCTAAAATTCTTTAGAAATCTTCGGACAAGTTTTGTGGCAAATTTTTTTGTCTCAGCTACCCATATATAGTGGGTAATCTTCTCCTAAGGACCATAGAATGGAAATGCGGTCCTTTCCACATTCGCTTTGCTAAACAAATTCAAAAAAGCGTATGTTTGATTTAATGCAATACATTCGTGTCTGTCTGTCTGTCTGTCTGTCTGTCAGTAGGCCTTCCCTCAAACATTCAATGTATCTTTAGTTTAAGGCTACAAATCGCGTGTAAATAAAAATGCTCAAGGTTCAACCATGTGTAAACAACTAAGAACATTAAAGTCGGGCAAGGCCGACCATTAAATGCCTTACACCAAATTGTTAAACACAGTTCTTATTTTTGTATGAAATTACTATTATGGGACAATTTTTATTACCACATATTGAAACTTAAACTTTTCTAAAGTACTTTTTAGGGTAGGAGCCAAAAAATAGGACGAGATGATCCAAATTTGGTACAGTTAAATTTTTTTACGCTAAATTACTACTATGATATAATTTTCATCATGAAGGATTGAAAATTATACCTGTTTCTCATATGAACTTCAGTTTTCGTTATGTGAGATAGGGGGTTCAAAATTGAACCCAGCCGGTCCAAAGTTTTCATACCAATTTTGAATGCCGTAATACTATTATTTTGCAACTTTTGCCGAGAAATTTTGAAAATTGCAATTTTTTTTCGATATAAGGACATTTCAGATTAGAGAGTTCTAGGTGGAGTGGTTGAAAAAATGGATTGATTCGAACCATTTTCGATAGCATTCGTCCTTGGGGCAAAACATGTCACTGTACCAAGTTTCATCAAAATATTCCTGGAATTCCTGCGACCTGTAGGTTGAACGCAACAGACATCAGACGGACAGCTGGACAGACAGACTTGGATTATGATAATTAATCGATCGGTATAATAAAAGGTAGGTCTATCTTAAGCCCTTCTGCCTCCGTTACATCCGTCCGCGCCTGTACCACAAGTGGTGTAAGATGTAAAAAGAACAAGACAACATTTTAAAATATCTATATAAAAATTATCCTAATTAAGGACAAACTGACAAACTGCTTAAAATTGCTAAAACAATTTATAATTTCAAAGGATCGACGTAAGGCGATGTGTATCGAAGATATATAAAATTTCATTGCTCTTGTTCGTTGTTCTCCTCGGAACATTAGTAGTAACAATGCCCAACGGATGAATGTTAAACTTGAATATTTCAATATAATCGAATATTTATTAATAATTATATAAATATAATATAAAGTATTATTTCTAATAATTCTAGCATAGGCTCCTTAATAATCAATCAATCAATATTTGTTTTTTGTTTATAACGTTTTTTTTAACATTTATGTTCGGTTATGTGACTGTTAATAAATATATTATATCAATGAATACTTATCAAAAATTTATTCTGTCAGTGTAGAATAGTTGAGAGCTAAATTACAAAACAACAATAAAAAATAAAAAAAAAATAAAAATAAAAATTAAGCAACAATCTTGCACTTTAGTCATAGTCGATAAACTTTTTAGAAAATTAGATCATATAATACTAAACACCGCCTGTTTGTATGCAGATATTCTTTAAATGAAATTTTTATTTTTTTTACTTAACAACAAAAATCGCATGCAAGTGTCCTTTTAGATTTGGCTTTCTTTCTCTTAATTTTTCTTAAAGTGTAAATATATAGCTTGAACGTACCACTGTTAACGAAATTTTTATTTTTCTTTTCTTTTTTTTTTTGTTTTGATTTTATTTAAAAATTTCATCAATAATTTAAATTAATTATTAATTGTTTTTATTTTAACTAACTAACTAACTAACAACAACAACAACAATAACAACGACGACGACAATATACACAGCCCGTTCTATATATTGTTATGAATGCGATTCATGGACAGACGCCAGATGCAAAGATCCCTTCAATTATACCGCCCTACCACGCGATCAACCGCCATTAATGACATGCAATGGCTGCTGCGTTAAAATGGTCCGACACTCGAAATCACGTAAGTTCCCCCTCATAAGAATAATAATAATAATAATAATAATAATAATCCTTTGCATATCATAATTTAATTTTATTCTATTCATTATTCGTTTATTTGCAGCTTATGAGGTTGTTAGACGTATGTGTACATCACAATTACAAATAAATTTATTTATGGTCGATCACGTGTGCATGATGGAAAGTTCAGGCAATGGACATATGTGCTTTTGTGAGGAAGATATGTGCAATTCTAGTAAAAATTTATATAACATCAACAACATTCCTCACATCATCTTAATATCTCAGCTCATAATCTTCTTTGTTCTATTTAATCAGCAAACGTATCATCTTCGCTCCTCAGTAGTTAACAGATAGACAAGATAACAAAGCAGTACTTACATGCTATCACTGTTGTTGTTCTCATGATTGCCATCATTATCCACTATCATCTCAATTAATAAGTTTGCCAAGCATTATTAACACACTTACCAACAGTTAGATTTATTATCTCTCTCTCTCTCTCCTTCTCCTTCTCTTTCTCTTTCTCTCTTTATCTCTCGTCGTATTTCCTTTATTCTATCTATCTATCGATCTATCGATCTATCTATCGGTTTATCAATCTATCTTCTATCAATTGTTTCTTGTGCTCGGTTGTTTTCTTTATATATTATCTACATACATTTTTACTACGTAGAATTAATAATACATTGAATTATTTATTTAACGAATACCACGAATTTTTGCTATAAAGACAATAGATTGATTTGGGCAACAAGAGAAAGTAGATACTATTGTTCTACAAAAAATTGTGTTGTTATTGTTATTGTTAACATTTATTGCTATCATAGTTGTAGAATTTAATTAATTTTCATTCAATTCCCGCAGTTATGTAGATAAACATAAACACACATCCTTTTTTTTTTTGTTTTTCTCTTTTTTTATTAAATGATTTTCTCTTCAGTTAATTTACTTTTATTAAAGGATTGTCACGCCTTGTCATGCATGCCATTTCATATATGCGGACTGTGTTTTTGCCTGTCACAAAATTCCAATTGTTCCGCCAACTTTTGATATTGCCCCGTGAGGCGGATCCTATTCACGAACATTTTGCATAAGACATGAGGAAATTCAATGTCGCGTCCGCTTTTTGAAAGTTTTTTTTGCCAAATGAATTCAATTTATCGCAGCTCGGCGATCAACGAACAGCCATAAGAGTTCATCCGCAACGTGAATGTAGCTTTCGTAAAAAAAGACCCACAAAGTGGATAGCGTTTTAATGAACAAATAAAGCCAAGCTCATCTGTCGGCCATTCCTAATAAAATTGGTATCCATTTGCCTGATCCCAAAGCGCATGGCGGTCAGTAATGATTTTTAGAAAATAGTTTGGCCCTCAGATCGGTATATTTCGGTAATTTCCAATTACTATATTTATAAAAAGCTCCTTGAATCATCAACAAATTGGGGAAAAGTTTAAAAACTGACTGACGGATGTTATTGATCCATAGATCTGCTGATTTAACTCAACTTTTTCAATGAAATTTATCATCATTTGATGTAGTGAAATATAGAAAATTTTTATCTCACTTTTGTGAAGTGAAAAACGGAAAAATTTTTATTACTCTTGAGCAGCATCTAACAGCTGGAACTTACATAGCCTCACAGTTTACCTAAAAAACAAGTAAGAAATTTACATTCGGCGGGGACCGCATGTCCCTCACCCACCACTACGCTTTCCGCATTTCACATATAAAGTGTCGAACCCAGAGCGGGTTTCTGCTCTCACCAATTTGGTCCATTTTCAATACCAACTCGAGTGCAGAAACTTCCA